CTCTTATAAAGTATTTGCATAAGATTGGATTTCACTCTTGCATTCCAGTAGCAAAACCTCTTCTCTCATCACAACAAAGAGAAAATCGACTCAATTGGTGCCTTGAGAGAAAAGAATGGTCAGTCAGCAAGGATAGAATCCGAATTAACTGAACTGGAGTTAGAAATTGAAAAGGCAAGTAATTTTATTAACCCTTCGTTCCCTCATAACACCTCGTTATTCAGTTCTTGTTGAACTCGTTATTGCAGAAGAAGGGAAGACAAACGGTCCATCAAATAGCACGACGGGGATGTCAAGCATATTCTGATATAGAATTTGGTCCTGTAGAACGAGAGCAAAAGAGGATTAGAGTGGATGAAAGTGAAGCAGTTGAAGAAGCTTCTCCCCTTACCATTCCTCCCTATACCAGTGTTCATATTTCTCCAAATGGCACTTTATATAAAACTCAACAGGAATTAAATCATATTTTGAAAAGTACCACTTCTGAACTCCAGCTGTTAAATCATCAGGAGTCGAGTTTCAAGAGCAAAATCGTAAAGTTCACATTGAAGATATGAACAGAAAGATACCATCGAGTCCTAAAGCCTCTTCCAGTGACAACACTGAAAGCTTGAGGAGGACGAGGAAATTATATTTGATTTAACAAACATTTTGATGGAATTGGAGCGTGAACCAACGGTTAAAGTATGTTACATGGAAATACTGGTTCCTTTATTTCGTGTATCTCACTGTTTTTTAGTGGGAGGTTGGTTGTATTAATGTAACCGATAGATTTCGGCGGTATCAGAAAGACGTTCTCAAGAAGGCGGAGAGAGAGGGTTTAAAATATGAGAATATTTACGAACTCTTGTAAGTATTCTGAAACATGTAGCATTTGACTAGCACAACGATATTTATATAATTGCATTTAGAGCTTTATTGTCAATCATGGTGCTCTGCTGGCCATGTCCGTACCCCATGTTCACGAAACAAGAATGGAAAGAAATAACCAAAATTAATCCTTATACTATAAAAGAACCGCCACTCCACTCTTTCTTCTTCTCTTCGTGATACATTTGATTGGCGGAGATGTCTTCATGGATTGTGGAAAAGCGGAGTTTAATAGGATGGTTGCACTCATGTTTAACAACTTGTAAGTTTATTCGTTCTTATTTCGTTTATCATCCATTAATTTGTGGCTTACACAAGTTCTCTTAACCATTAAAGATATTATGGTATTCCAGAGGTTGCACCATCGAAGTTATCCGAGGAAGAACACTGTGACTTGTTTATTTATCCAATTATTCGTTCGTTTCATGGATATGAAAAAGAATATGCACTTAGATTAAATCGTGCCAACGCAGGCTCAAAAACAAGACCAGACCTTTCTTGCATAGTGGATGATATACCAATCTTAAATTCAGAGTTTAAGCCGTTGGGTTGTACACTATTACAACGGAAGTAGGATAGATTGAAAGTTCATTTAAAAGGCCGAAAATCAATCAATCAACAATTGCAAAGTAAAGGAGGTCCGGGTGAAGCTTTCTTGTTTCTAAACATGGGTATGTATTGCTTCCTATAAATTACAAGGGAGTTTATTATTTTTTATAACATACTGAATTATGCTTCTACAATACAGGTGATTCGATGGAATCATTCTTCATGGATCTGAAGTACGATGAGTTGTACCGCTCCTGGCCATTTCTCACCACCAAACTGGTGATCGACAAGCTACGATCCCATTAGCAGAGTTTGCAATCAGTCATTTTGTGGCTTTGGAGGTATTACACGTTTTCTTTGAGCTAATAAGACATTTTTCTCACAAATTTCACATACTCAGGAACATGTTGGAGAGATCGCGAAGAACTTCAAATATCGAAGCAGTCAATTCACACCACCGGCACAGATGTCTTTTGTGCGCAAACTTCCAGATTCTCCACAAGTAAAGATGTTACTTCGTTAGAGTCGGTTAATTTACAATAGTGTTACGGTCGGCGTCCACAATAGGGTTGGGAGAGCAATTAATTGCGTAGGTGTGTTCTGCCGAGAGGGGGTTTT